CTTTAAAAATAAAACGTTTTATATATATATGTATATATAATACATCTATATACATCTTCTATATATATATATAGCACCCTTTTCAACACTGTCAGGTTATTTAAGAGGCAGAACGGAATCTCTGAATCTGACGTTCATCTCTGATGTGACAAAGCCATAAAACTTCCGAAACAACCCAGGTTAAGAACACCAAGTAGATGATTCGGACCTGAAACATCCCATCTGAAGTCTAGCATGAGCTAACGGTAAACATCCATCGGCATTGAGAGTCTATCCTGCTCCAAAGAAATCGTACTGAGTGACAACTTAAGTTGCTCTGAGCTAATCAGTGTGATTTGATAGGTATACGAATGAGCACAGACACTGCTACTGTTAGTGAGACACAACAGTGATAGATCACTCAAACTAAAGAAAAAGTCCATGTTCATGCCGTACTGCTCTTCGTGTGTGGCCATCATTGACTTTGGGATTCTGGGTCCACTGCGCTATCTATACACGCCGAACCACCGAACTAGAACCTATATCCTCCCATTTCACAGAGGTTTACGAGCTCACAGCTCCAGGTGGGAGGTGATAGGCTGATTAGAATGAAGTAGAGATTCCCGATTTCTCCACACTAACTCCCATGCCTTTCATCCCCTTTCCCCGACTGTTTTCCAGTGAATATTTCTTATCTATAACTGCCACTGACAGGGGAGCTGTTCCAGATACCTCAAATCATTGACTTTGTCTCTCACAATGGGTACTACACTCAGTTCCAACAAAAGTTAAACAAGCACTGTTGACGATTTTGCTCATTATGTACAATCAAACACATCATACAGTACTTCGAGGACGAGTCATTTGGTCACCTGTCACAGCGATTAGACAGACAAAATACAAACAAACGTAAGACAATACAAATCTGGACCAAACACTGTTGCGAATCACAATTTTATCATTTTTTCGCCTTACGTATTTCCTCAAGTATATAGCCAACTATGCCGCACCGGCTTGCACACGTTACGAGGCCAAGATTGAGACGGAAGGTGCCAGATGGAAAGAGGAGGTAGGCAGCATATTTCTCTCTATGAACTTTTTGTATGTCTTTTTTGTGATTGTGATGGATGGGAAATGATTGTAATAGCGTCTGTGGTGTATCAGTTAGGCGCTTCGCTGTCGCACACAGGAGACCCGAGTTCGACTTCGAACTGGGGAGAAATTTTGATTAAGTATTTGTCTTGCTGGTGGGATACTGCATCCTTATCAGTTCGGGTTGGCCCTGGCTGGCAGGGTAGGGAGCAGGCCTACTAAAATATCTAAATGGTGTCAATGAGGGGGGGGGGGGGTGGTGGTAAAAACACCCACATTTATGAGAAAAAAAATGACTGTAAACGTTTCAAGGTCCCATTATTGAATACATAGATCAATGAGCACACGACTGCTCTCGGTCTTTCAATAACAAACAAAATTATTGTAACTTTTTCAGACTAAAACAAAGTGGAATGCCGACTTGGATTGGTTCAGGAGAAAAAGAAACATTGGGAAAAGAAAGCATACTTGAAGCTTCCTTTCTCTGTGTAGTTTCAAAGCAGTAGTTCCCCCCCCCCCCAACCCTTCTTCATCTTCCTTCCTCAATGTAACCTTATATCTGAATTTGCAATCGGTTGTAAACAGTCCAGGGTTTTCTAAAACGGACAGCTGTTTTCTAATTTCATTTTTAACAGACGCTTCCGCTTTAAGAAGGACCAGACATCCGGAAATGACCCTTCTTCTGACATTAATGCTTTGACATCGGGTCTAAATAGCGTTCTACGTTTGACGCAACACCCTATAACGACAAATTGTGGTCATGTCTACAGCAGTAACGCCAGGGGAAAAAGCGATGAAAAAAGAACAAAAACGTGGAGAGAAAATGCATACCTGAAATATAATCGCACCGTACACCCTTCACTGAAGTGTTATTCCACTATTAGCAAGGTTCCCCTCGATGGCAGTTCGCAGTAAGTTCACTTATAATCCATAAACCTCTAGTATTATCATCGTATCACTGATGGGTTTTGTTTTGTTTTGGTTTTCAACGGAATATGTCGAAAGCGACACTAAAAAAAACCCCATACAACATTCTTTTGTGAGAGCCCGAGAAGAAAAAAATAATTCAACAACAACAACAAAAACAACAGCAACAACAACAACAACAACAACAACAACAACAACAACAACAACAACAACAACCGCAATAGCAACAACATCAACAACAACAGCAATAACAACAACATGATTTCAGCAATGCTTTCTTCCGTTAAATCGGATCTGGAGATCTGATCAGGAGCAAACTCTTTTCAGCTACAGTCATACTCACATACCCGGTGAGAGAGAATATGAAGGAAGATCACCTTCGGAAATGGAGCGGACAGGTCACATTCCATTCTTATTTCTCACGGAAAATGTTAAAGTGCGGACAAAACAAAAAAACCCACAAAAAAACTCAAGTAAAAAAAAAAGGCAGCATAGAAACCCCTCCTTGCTCCCAAGCACTGGCTGATCATTGTTTGTAGACTTTAAGAAGGTGGAGGAGTGTGAAAGATCCTGGAAAGTAGCTTACAACTCTCGCTGGACGAAGAACCTGTTTCCTCATTCATAATGCCAAAAGAAAAAAGTAAATACATTTTTAGACAAAATAATTCCATATCACTTAACTGGGCTAGATTTGAGCGAATTTCATGTTTACACTAAGAGGGCGTTGAATCCTAAACTTCTTTCATGTACCCAAGCCGTCTTGAATCATATATACACACTCGAAAATACAGGTTTTTAGGAAGTTAAAAGTGAGGCATATGGCGGATTTTCGCAAAATAAAGGTGATACTTGCTGCTGACAAATGTGCTGATAAGAAAAGCATAAAAATGCAGCTTTTTTCATTACTGTGAAATTTATCATTGTGTTTAACACAAGGACAAGCAACAGCCCGCGGGTATTTGACTGAGAGGGTTGGTGAGTAGAGAAGTGGTCGAATATTAGATCAAAGGGGAGGAAATGGAAGGGATCGTTAAGAGGTGGGGGACACTGTGACATTTTCTTCATACTCGTCTGCAAAAGAAAAACAAACTTGGCAAGTTTAATGGTTCATTCTTGCCTTTCAAGCCTTCCGTTGATTGGGTAACGCACGCCAAAAAAACTTCGAATCCTTGAGGCATCAGCTTAGAACGTAGCTACTCCATCAACTTTATTTCTTATTTCCTACTTTCCCAAATTTCTATCTCTCTCTGTCTCTTTCTGTCGCTCTCAGTCTCTCCATCTCTATCTGTCTGTCTGTCTGCCTGTCTGTCTGTCTCTCTCTGTCTCTCTCTCTCTCTCTATCTCTGTGTGTGTGTCTCTCTCTCTCTCTCTCTGCCTGTCTCTCTCAGCTCAAGTAAACGCTCTTCAAAAGCATTCCGAGTGTATACCACACTCCTATACTCTCATTTGAACTTGCACTTCAAAGAAAAGATACCACAACAGTCAACCGCGTCGCCTACTCACCCCCAAAATCAACTCCCTCTTCCTTCGGACTCTCTTTCCCACGTCAACCTTACTATCAAATCATCCTCCCACCCCTCCTCCGAAAAAAAATTAACATCAGCCCTACCTGATAAACAGTTATTCCGGAAACGTAAATCAGCTCACTTCCCTTTTTAACTCATTCACTTACTCTAACGCACTAACACACACATACTTACACACATACACACGCACACACCAACACCTACACGCACACGCGCACACACACACACACACACACACACACACACACACACACACACAAACAGACACACACACACACACACACTCCCTTTTCCAATCACTCAACCCTACTCTTTAACCCTGTCTTCCAATCATCTCCACCTGCAGCTTCAAGGGGTTAAAACAAACAAACGGAAAACCCACT